AACACCCAACACCCAACGACCAACACCCAACAACCTACAACCAACACCCAACAGCCAACGACCAACACCCAACAGCCAACAGCCAACAACCAACACCAACCAACCAACACCCAGCAACCGACAACCAACAACCAACACCCAACGACCAACACCCAACAACCGACAACCAACAACCAACACCCAACAACCAACACCCAACAACCGACAACCAACACCCAACGACCAACAACTGACAACCAACAACCAACACCCAACGACCAACACCTAACAACCTACAACCAACAACCAACACCCAACAAATCACAACCAACATCCAACAACCAAACACCCAACAACCACCCAACAACCGACAACCAACACCCAACGACCAACACCCAACAACCTACAACCAACACCAACAGCTAACGACCAACACCCAACAGCCAACAACCAACAACCAACAACCAACAACTAATAACCGGCAACCGACAACCAACAACCAACAACCCACAACAACAACAACAACAACAACAACAACAACAACAACAACACCAACAACACCAACAACAACAACAACAACAACAACAACAACAACAACAACAACAACAACAACAACAACAACACCCACAACCAACAACCAACAACCAACAACCAACAACCAACAACCAACAACCAACAACCAACAACCAACAACCAACAACCAACAACCAACAACCAACAACCAACATCCAACAACCAACAACCAACAACCAACATCCAACAACCAACAACCAACAACCAACAACCAACAACCAACAACCAACAACCAACAACCAACAACCAACAACCAACAACCAACAACCAACAACCAACAACCAACAACCAACAACCAACAACCAACAACCAACAGCCAACATCCAACAACCAACAACCGACAACCAACAACCAACCACCAACAACCAACAACCAACAACAACAACCACAACAACAACCAACAACCAACAACCAACAACAACAACAACAACAACCACAACCACAACCACAACCACCACAACGACAACAACAACAACAACAACAACAACACCAACAACCAACAACCAACAACCAACAACCAACAACCAACAACCAACAACCAACAACCAACAACCAACAACCAACAACCAACAACCAACAACCAACAACCAACAACCAACAACCAACAACCAACAACCAACAACCAACACCCAACAGCCAACAGCCAACAGCCAACAACCAACAACCAACAACCAACAACCAACAACCAACAACCAACAACCAACAACCAACAACCAACAACCAACAACCAACAACCAACAACCAACAACCAACAACCAACACCAACAGCCAACACACAAGCTACAACCGACAATTAACACCCAACAATTACAACCAACAACCAACACCCAACACCTAACAACAACACCTACAACCAACCAACACCCAAACAATTAACACCCAACAACCTACAACCAACAACCAACACCCAACAGCTAACAAACTAACACCTCCAACACCCAACACCCAACAACCTACAACCAACACCCAACAGCTAACACCTAACAACCTACAACCAACAACCAACTAACACCTAAAACCTACAACCAACACCCAACACCCAACAACCTGCAACCAACAAGCAACACCCAACAGCCAACACCCAACAACCTACAACCAACACCCAACACCCAACAGACAACAACCAACACCCAACAACCAACACCCAACAACCAACACCCAACAACCTACAACCAACAACCAACACCCAACACCCAACAACCTACAACCAACAACCAACACCCAACAGCCAACAACCAACACCCAACAACCAACACCCAACAACCAACACCCAACAGCCAACAACCAACAACCTACAACCAACAACCAACACCCAACAACCAACACCCAACAACCAACACCCAACAACCTACAACTAACAACCAACACCCAACAACCAACACCCAACAACCAACACGCAACAACCAACACCCAACAACCTACAACCAACAACAAACACCCAACAACCAACACCCAACAACCAACAACCAACACCCAACGACCAACACCCAACGACCGACAACCAACCTCCAACACCCAACGACCAACACGCAACAACCGACAACCAACACCCAACACCCAACAACCAACACCCAACGACCAACACAACCAACAACCAACACCCAACGACCAACACCCAACGACCGACAACCAACAACCAACACCCAACGACCAACACCCAACAACCGACAACCAACAACCAACACCCCACACCCAACACCCAACGACCGACAACCAACAACCAACACCCAACGACCAACACCCAACAACCTACAACCTACACCCAACAGCCAACGACCAACAACCAACAACCAACAACCAACACCCAACACCCAACAGCCCACACCCAACAACCTACAACCAACACCCAACGACCAACACCCAACAACCTACAACCAACAACCAACCCCCAACCCCCAACACCCAACGACCGACAACCAACAACCAACACCCAACAACCTACAACCAACACCCAACAGCCAACGACCAACACCCAACAGCCAACATCCAACAACCAACACCCAACAACCAACACAAAAATTAATACCCAAAAACCTACACCCAACAACCAAAACCCAACGACCAATACCCAACAACCGACAACCAACAACCAACACCCAACAACCAACACCCAACAACCTACACCCAACACACAACACCGAACAACCTACAACCAACAACCAACACCCAACAACCAACACCCAACAACCAACACCCAACAACCAACACCCAACAACCAACACCCAACAACCAACACCCAACAACCAACACCCAACAACGAAAATCCAACAACCACCACCCAACAACCTACAACCAACAACCAACACCCAACAACCAACACCCAACAACCTACAACCAACAACCAACACCCAACAACCTACAACCAACAACCGACAACCAACAACCAACACCCAACAACCAACACCCAACAACCGACAACCAACAACCAACACCCAACGACCAACACCCAACAACCGACAACCAACAACCAACACCCAACGACCAACACCCAACAACCACAACCAACAACCAACACCCAACGACCAACACCCAACGCCAACGACCGACAACCAACAACCAACACCCAACGACCAACACCCAACGACCAACACCCAACAACCTACAACCAACGCCCAACAGCCAACGACCAACAGCCAACATCCAACAACCAACACCCACCAGCCAACATCAAACAACCTACAACCAACAACCAACACCCAACAGCCAACACCCAACAACCTACAACCAACAACCAACACCCAACAACCAACACCCAACAACCAACACCCAACAACCAACACCCAACAACCAACAACCTACAACCAACAGCCAACACCCAACAACCAACACCCAACAACCAACACCCAACAACCAACACCCAACAACCAACAACCAACACCCAACAACCAACACCCAACAACCAACACCCAACAACCAACAACCAACAACCAACACCCAACCACCAACACCAAACAACCTACAACCAACAACCAACACCCAACAACCTACAACCAACAACAAACACCCAACAACCTACAACCAACAACCAACACCCAACAACCAACACCCAACAACCAACAACCAACAACCAACACCCAACAACCAACACCCAACAACCAACACCCAACAACCTACAACCAACATCCAACACCCAACACCCAACAACCAACACCCAACATCCAACACCCAACACCCAACAACCAACAACCTACAACCAACACGCAACACCCAACAACCTACAACCTACAACCAACACCCAACAACCTACAACCAACAACCAACAACCAACAACCTACAACCAACAACCAACACCCAACAACCTACAACCAACAACCAACACCCAACAACCAACACCCAACACACAACACCCAACAACCTACAACCAACACCCAACGACCAACACCCAACAACCAACACCCAACAACCTACAACCAACAACCAACACCCAACAACCAACACCCAACAACCTACAACCAACAACCAACACCCAACAACCTACAACCAACACCCAACAACCGACAACCAACAACTAACGCCCAACAACCAACACCCAACAACCAACACCCAACAACCTACACCCAACAACCGACAACCAACACCCAACAACCAACAACCAAAACCCAACAACCAACACCCAACAACCTACAACCAACACCCAACAACCGACAACCAACAACCAACACCCAACGACCAACACCCAACAACCGACAACCAACAACCAACACCCAACGACCAACACCCAACAACCGACAACCAACACCCAACAGCCAACGACCGACAACCAACAACCAACACCCAACGACCAACACCCAACGACCAACACCCAACAACCTACAACCAACGCCCAACAGCCAACGACCAACAGCCAACATCCAACAACCAACACCCACCAGCCAACATCAAACAACCTACAACCAACAACCAACACCCAACAACCTACAACCAACATCCAACACCCAACAACCTACAACCAACACCCAACAACCTACAACCAACAACCAACACTCAACAACCTACAACCAACAACCAACAACCTACAACCAACAACCAACACCCAACGACCTACAACCAACATCCAACACCCAACAACCTGCAACCAACACCCAACAACCTACAACCAAACAACCTACAACCAACATCCAACACCCAACAACCTAAACACCCAACAACCTACAACCAACAACCAACACCCAACAACCTACAACCAACATCCAACACCCAACAACCTACAACCAACAACCTACAACCAACAACCAACACCCAACAACCTACAACCAACATCCAACAACCAACAACCTACAACCAACACCCAACAACCAACAACCTACAACCAACAACCAACACCCAACAACTAACACCCAACAACCAACAACCAACACCCAACACCCAACCACCAACACCCAACAACCTACAACCAACACCCAACAACCCCCTCCCCCGAAAGCCCTGGCCAATGGCCCCGCATCAGCCTGGAGGGCTTCTCCGTGGAGCGCGTGCTCCGAGGCGGCCTTCTCCGCCGCCATCAGGGCGTTGCGGGCCCTCGCAGTCCCGGGTTTTTTCTTCGAGTTGGCGCGCCTTTGGTTCGTCTATCTACCGGAAAACCACGAGGAAATCGGCGAGTGTTGTGGGTTCTGTGGCTGAGTTTCACTCACTGGTTGCGATAAATGGGCTCTCCAATTTTGGGTGTGTGTCGGTGTGTGTCAAAATGATTCAAGATGGGTTTGTGAAACAGGGGCTGGCCTTGTTTCCCTTTGAAACCAAACGGACAAAGGGGTCTCCGTGTTGGAAAACTCCATCGAGTTGAGGGCACTTGAAAGCTGTGAGCAATAAGGGATGGTCGTGGGTGTGGCTGAATCTGGATCATAATGAATGCCATGAATCACAAATGACGCGGTGTTCGCAGAACTCACCGCGATGAAATGGGCGAAACACGGGGGTTCGGGACTACCCACACAGCTTGACGTTTGGAGCTGCCCTTGAAAAAGCCAACCCAAGAACATCCAATGCAGTGAGAACTCCGAATTCAATTATCAAAGCTGGACAAAGACCTTAAGCTGGGCACATGGGGCTGGGAAGGGCAAACTCAGATTCCCTTCTGCGCCGGACTTTCCCTCAGATGCCCAGTGACCATGGGAACCAAAGGGCACCCTTTTTTTGGTTGCTTGAGTTTCAAGGGGAGCCCTTCCCCCAAAAAAAAGTTGAAAAAAGAAAGCACCCGCTGGGCAACAGAGTTCCCAGACACCTTGGGCCAAGTCTCGAAGTTGCGCTGCTCTCGGCCATGGTTTGCCGGCTCTCCGCTTCGGTCAGCGCCGTGGCTTCTGGGCGCGAATCGAGCATCGATTCGGAGCAAGGCCACCGGTGCACCGGTCAGTTTCCCGACTGAACGCAGCTTGGTCGACCCAAATCAAAGCAGGGGTCTTTTTTTGAAGCTACCCTTTTTGGCCTATCTTGCTGACCTTCCTGGTGTTGGGAGTGAACCTGCGGATTCCCATTAGGAACCGGATAGTTCTTCGCGGGGTCATTCCATTTCTCATTCCCTGCCTATCAAACCAGCAAGTTGAAGGGGGAACCGAAAAAAGCAAAACATTTGGTTATGGGTCAAATTTAGCCACCAGGGGACCACAGTTTTAGTCCTTGGATTCGTTTACCAGCTTCCATTTTGGGTACCCATTTCTATTTGGCGGGGTAACAGTTGTTTTTGACACGCCAGGTATCCCAAATTGAGAGCGGCGTACCGCTGCGCACGCAGGCTCAACATGTCAACCTCTAAGCACCAGCTCACCACAAGAACATGGGCGTGGCTCGTCTTTGGCTTTCCCTGGTTTGGTGGTTTTAAAGGAACAACAAAAGGAACACCGAAGCCATTGTCTGGGCCCGTTAAAAAACGCCCATAATGGGTATGACTTTGTTAAGCGGGGACACTGGGTCAGCTAGTTAATGTTGTGCTTGGACTCGTCATCTTACGTGTCAATCACGCAAAACATGGTGAATTCGCAGATCTGGGAAGCCGAGATTGTATGGGACTGTCGCAGACACTGGCCGTAACACAACCAAGAACACAGGAAAAACAAAAAAAACACAAAAAACACAAACAACAATTGAAGCAGTCTCGCGCAATCGTCTGCGTCTTGATCCACTGTGAGCACAGGAAATCTGACCTCTTTGTCGCACAATCATCGTCTACTGTCTCGCTGCTGCGTTTTGCAATGCGTGCCCCATGCTCATGAAAATGTCCGCTACGGAGCCAAGAACACAAAAAGCAACATGACTGCCGGGGTTAAACACCAAGCTTCTCTGAAGGGCACCAACTTTAGGTAGAGCCCAGCGCCAAACTTGAAAAACCGAGGCTCTGCTTGTCACCGCTTCCGCCAATCTTTCCTGAACGGGGAATTCCGCCAGAACTGCGGTGATGGTCATGGCATTGTTCAAAACATGATAACGTGGCTATGGGTCAAAAATAGGTACCCCAAATGGAACCCTGGTAAGTGGAAACATGGACCAAAACTTGCGGCCCCCTGGAATTTTGACCCATACTCGCATCAACTGGGACGGATTGATAACATTGATTAGCACGGGGTGCCTCATTGCGGGGAAACGGCCCCTGTTGATTCACCAGGTCGATTCAGCGGGGGTCACTGATTGCTCAAAAGCTTTAGCAAGGCGTTTGAAACGGTGCGCCCGCTCGCCTTCTTCGCCCTTGCTGCTTCAACTGCCGCTTTGAGAGTGCTTTCTCGAGCAGCGCGATCACTGGCCGGCAAGCATGTCAGATTCAATCACAGGCTCAAACTACAGCCTCAGCAAGCATGAGAACATCCGAAATCAGCTATCAGCGTCCGTCTTCAACCACAATGTGGGTATGAAGTTCAGGGGGCACCTTGTGCGTGTGGGATGTATGCCCCTTCCACAGCATTTTGAGGGTCTACCAACTATGGAAAAAAACAACTTTCAGATCTGGGGCTTTTAAAAGGT